AAAATTAATTTTATTTGTCTTTTGAGTGTCTTCATCTAATTCTATATCAATATTTCATTGTATTTTTTATATTTCAACTCTTAATCTTAAAATCCAAAACTAATAATTAATGATGGGTACTTAAATTTTCACTTGGAATGACCTTACAATCTTTGCAATCTCGATGATCTGTTTTTCTCAAAAGAAAAAAATCAATTTGTGTTTTATTTGATCCATTCTTATAAATGATAATATGCTCATCTCTTTTATTAAATAAAATATGAGCAATAACTAAATCACAAGTTAAAGCTAAATTCAATATGACTATCTTTTTCATTAGTTACTCCCAAATTATAGGCAATATGAATGCTTATAAAATCTCTTACCACTTTATCTACATGTTCTATTAAATTTCCTTCAAGAAAAATTCCTTCTTCAAGAGATATCCTTTGTATTGATTCTTCTTTCCAAATATACTTGGGAAGCATAAATATTTATACCATTAATAATCTTAGTATCAACAGTAATTTTTAGAGCTATAATTTTATCTTTAATTCTACTAATTTTTATAATATTATATTTCAAATTCTTATTTCTAATTATACCCGCACCATTTCTGGTATGACTCGGACTCCTACTTGAATACCAAAATTTAAAATTTAAACTATCAATTTTTATAGTCTTTTTTCCAACTCATTTAGTTTCTTGAATGCATAAGATATTTTTCTTCCTGTGAATCATATTATCTACTAATTTCATTAATTTACCTGTAAGAGTATTTATATTCTAAGTTCATATTCTAATATTAATTTTATGGACTAACTTATTTGCCCGTCTTCATTCATAATGTGAGAATATTTACTTATTTAATATTGCACTGGGCACTGTTGCAACGGCTTTTGCACACTTTTTATTGTATTATGGTAATACAAAATGTTGCTTCTAGAGGAAGATTTAATATTTACATAATAACTTAAAGTATTCATGACATAATTATTTGACAAAATTTTTATGTTGTTTGTTGGCTACTTATGAAACCTCAACTTTTCGCATCCTGGACTTGAAACCCAACAATGACGATGTTCTTATAGTTATCTTATAGATGCTCAATGAATTTATTTGATTTGAATATTGCTTGTGTGATTAGAAAGATCCCCTTTCCTTACTCTGTGAATATAAGGGTTGATATTCATGTTGGTTTTTAATAAGACAAATTAGATAAATAGAAGAAAATTTTGAGCTTTTGCTTAAATTACTCCATATTTTTTGTTTGAGGCTTTTCGTGGATGCAAATCCTGAGGATTAATTATCCCTCGTTACAAGAGGGAACTTCCAACTAAAGCTAATTTGTGGACTTTACATTGCTTTGCTTTGATGACACTTATTAGATTTGGTAGGAAAATATACACCAATAGTGACTTAATTGGTATGGTGGGAGAACGATAACAAAATTGTTGAAATTTCATAGTTCTATCATACAGGCCTGTTACAACTAATAAACCTTGGTCTACCTAATTAGACTGATCTTGATTGATGAATTCGTGTCAGTAACTATGCTAGCATCATTCAAGGAGTACTTAGTCTTGGGAAGAAATTCTCCAAAGTTGCCAATTTCAATACAACTGTTGTTAATAAAGGGTTTCATCTTTACCAAGTGTATTTAATAGCTTACAACTCCTAAAATTAACAATTATAGAAACATCCAAGCCTCGCACTTCGTCCAACTACCATGGCTGACACCCAAATTTTAGGACTTTGCCTAATCCTTACTAGTATATGGTTTTTCAGTGTGATTATATGGATACATGTAATTGACTATGTGAGCTTTTGTCAGCCTTGAATTTGCTACCCACGGTATGTTGGTGTGGAGGTTGGATGGATGACTACTATGAACATATAATGAAAAATTATTACTTGAAATTTTTATTTTTATTTTCATATTTAAGAGTTAAGATTTTGATCGAGTTTTCTCTGATTATGATTTGCAAAAGCCCAGGTGCTGATCCCATTAGAGGAGTAATTGTCCTAGAAGATGTTTTTTTTGGGGGCATTACATACATATCACCCAATTTCTATGTATTTACATATCTTTCACCCACACTTTGCTTTTACATTTATATCTGTCGTATCACATAAGAAAATACCAGTTTTAACTTAAGAAAAATGAAATACACCTTTTCATGCTAAAAAAATGTAGTATATATGTAAAAATTGAAGTTTAGATATTAGATATATAAATACATAGCAATTGAGTGGTATCTATGTAAAGCATCCTTTTATTTTTAGCATAATAGCAATTTAGTCCCATAAACTTCAACTATCTTATTTATTCCCTCCATTTTGCTATCCTACACGCAATGAAATCCATGCATAAAGAGAAGTGTTTGTGGGCCATCACATTGCAACCCATTTTCAAAAAACCCTAGCTAGAGGGAGGAAAGGAGTGATCATACTTTGGGTTTGATCCTACAAATAAGTTAAATTTAAGCGGCAGAGGTTTTCAACATCAATATTATCAATTTCTAGATAGATGAACTATCAAACCTGCTTCTATATTTAATGAATTTGTTTTAAATTAGTAGAAAGTCATCCAAGTCTCCCTATGGATAAAGCTATGGTGATGTTAAGAACTAGATTCTAAATATTCCCCTTTGGAAGTTAAATTAAGAATCAGGAAAATCTAAATATAATTGGGGAAGACATCTAAAAATAATATGAGAATTCAAAAAAATCAATGCATGATCTAAATTGTTGAAGAAGATTAACGAGCTTGCACCAGGTAATAAAGCATTGGAGAGCGCCATTATTTATATGGATCGCCAGCTATTACTGTATTTGCAAATTCATCCCAAACAAAATTAAGGTAGACACAAGAAGTGGATGTCTTGCCTATAGTAGTTCATTATGGTGATTAAATGCAAAAAGGGAGCGCACAATAAGATGGCCGAACGACTTGGCCGGTCATTAGTGCAACAACAGTTTTCTTTATTACTATACAATTACGAGCACATTATGTTTTATGGAATAGATTTAGGCTTTCAAGAAGTGTGGAAATGCCCTGTATGTTAAAGGAGCCACATAGCCATTAGATGCATTCAGAGGGTACCAAGGAGACTAAACTGGGCTTGCAAGCAAAATGCAAGCTTCGTCTTCTATTTCGTAAATTGATAGTGCTAAATTGCAAGCTTACAATCATAGGGAAAGTTTACTAGAGCATAGAGGTAGCTGTGTGTGTTTAGAGACATTAATTATGTGACTTGAATAAGAAAGTTATCTACTTTCAGAGTAGTGAGATACTTTGGTGTGGAGAAGGCTATTCAAAATTTGAAGCTCTTTGATTCAGGGATTACATTAGTTTACACTATCAAAATTTAAGTAGTATTCTTCTTACTTTTTTAATTATAAATTGATGTACTCTAATAAATCAAAACAATTCAGATATTAAAGTTTTAAATTTTATCTCTCCCCACCTCACACAATACACACGCCCACGCACACACACACACTCTCTCTGTCTCCACACACACACTCAACAAGAACTGAGGGCCTAAAAGGCTTGGAAGTATCCACGAGCAACAATTGGACTTAATTTTTGGGGGAGCCTCAATAATCTAAGATATATTACATAACAATAAATTATTGTACGGACTGCATCCACCTTATATTGAAGAGAAATTATTCCTCAGAAAGAAAATGGGACAAAATCACTTGCGAGCTTATCCATGATTTCTTGCCACTCTTGTAACTAAGGTTCTGGGTTCATTTGACCAACCCTTTAGTTGTTTGGCTCCTTAAGTTTGAAAACAACAATCAAGCCTAAAAGATTAAGCCAGGTGAGTGGATGGCACTCATAAAGATTTTGCCATGAATCAACTATACTTTATCAACCCTAAAGTCAGATATCGTTGATGCAGAGAGGAATTGTACTAAAGCACAAAATCTTGTGGCGCTGTAGTACGATTGTTCAACTGTGAAGCAAACTTTTTTCCCTACTAAGGATAATGTGAGTTGTAAACTTCTTTTGGGGCGGCTGTAGCTGTCTTTTAAGTAGGTGTATGCTTTTTTGGGGGTAAATAAGTTTTTGAAAATTGTTGTATATATATGTATATATTTACTTTTGAAAAGATTAGGCATCTTTCTTACAGCTATCATATTCTATCCAGTTGTTTATAAAAAGTGCTTTTCACCGTAATATTATTGAAGAGCTGCTAAAAAGCTATAATCAAATAGAATTATGTAGCTTTCTAGAAAGTAAAATAATAAAAAAATTATTCCAATTTTTAGTTGCAAGTCATTTCATCAAGGCCATTTTGTGGATTTTATTATAACCGCCTTAACTTTTCTTCAAGAAGTTGTCGAATCTTTTTATTGTATTTGAAGAATTATTATTGTGGTCACCCCCAATTGAAATATAGTGAAATATGCAATAGCACTAATAGGATGTAGCGTAGGGCTACAAATGAACTGTGAGATGAACGGGCCAGAACTCGTTTGAGCTCATTTATCATAATCCTATTCGAGCTTTGCCCGAGCAGAATTCAAACTTAGTTAGTTTAAATTGTTTGTGCCCAATTTGAACTCACCTTGAGTTTGATTCTTATTGAGCTACTCATTTAGTAAAATAAATGAGCCTCGTCAAGGTGAGAAACAACTAAACTTTTAAATAGTACTATTTACAATCAAGTCTTAATCAAGTTTTATAACGAGCTTGTTTGCGAACTTTCAATAATATTGTTCATGATCATGAATGAATCGAGTAGAACCCTTATTCATTTAATACCCCGAGTATTTCTAATAGTGCTCCAACTTATTGATCAATTAATCAAATAATCATGAATGGTTTTTTATGAATTCAACTCACAATTACCTTCATTAGATGAATCTGCATAAAATTTTGGGTTGTGTGTTACATTTTCTTTTCTATTTGCAATCAAGCTTTGCCTGCCATCTCTTATTTTGTTTATTTTACAGCATATATATTATAGTATTTTATTTGTATTATTCGTTTAATTTATATGTAGATTGATATAAGGTTGGCACCGGGGAGTCATGCAACAGAAGCTGCAGGTATTGCTTCTTCATCTGTCTGCAATAGTTTCATTTCAGATATCTGTTACAGTTTTTTATCTCTCACTTTTTTATGAATATTATAGTGAATAAGCAGTTGAATGACAAGGAACGTGTAGCAGCTGCATTGGAAAATCCAAACCTTGCTGAAGTTGTTGCTGAGTGCTTGGCACCTACTTTTGTTTAGATTCTCTGTATATGTTGTCCTGCACACCTGAAGCTTCTTTACTTTGTCAAGGGCTGTCACACACCACAGGAATTTTTGTTCATTTATTTCTAAAGCATAACCAACTTTGTTGTAATATGTAAAATTTCTTGGGCATTTATGAAATAAACTGTTTGCAATGCTCATTTTTTATTCTACTATATCATTGGATTTTAATGCTTCTGTTGGACTCTTTTTATTTTATTTGTGTGGTAATTCTCTAGGCTGTATGGAATTTACTAAATACATCAAAACAGGTAAAGTCTATATTACTTTATTCCCATAATAGATTACATACCATTAAATTCCTAAGTATTTGCATATCTACCTTCCATACATACCAAAATGGTGTATTCCAAATTTTAAAAGTTAAACAGGTGATATTTTTAATATGATATGAAAGATTTAGTTGAATGTGAAAACATAATGTCATATATTTAAGTACATGGGAATTAGGTGTATTTGGTATGGTGTGAATTATTTTGGGTAGGAAGATTTACATACAGAAGGCTCAATTCATATCTATATACAAAATACCTAACTTTAAATTTTGCATATACCCATCTTACCCCATGTACAAAAAGTTATATTTCTCATTTTTTAAGTTATAATAATAATATTTTTGATGTGATAAATGATTTGGGTGGTAAAATGATAAGTGAAGCTTAGGTGATGGATATGTGAGTGCATCAGAATTGGAGGGCATGTTTGTATATGTTCCTTTTGGGTATGGAGTGGCAAGTTTTTGGTCAAGAAAATATTACGTCTGAAGTCCGGTGTGGGGACGCGGCTGGTCCGGACACTACTTTTTTCTTTTGCTCGGCATAGTGCACCTTCAAGTAGAGTTTAAGAAGCCCCTTCACTTTTTCATAAATTATAAACATTGCAGCATTTATGATAGCTAACAGCAAATTCAAATTTACCATTAAAAATACATATTTCACATAAAAAAGCTCATTGTTCCTACCAATCTCTTAACCCCAAAACAATACATATAATAATAAAAAAAATAACCTCCAATAAAGCATCAACAACCAAAATATATTTTACTTTTCATCACAGAATCATAAATTTGATATAAAATCCTTATATATATAATCCTCTCATTCAGTTAAAAATTAATCAGATCATCCTTCTTATACTGCTGCTTCTTTCTAACATCATGATCCTCTGATGAGCTGACCCCTTTCTTACCAAATATCATTTCATCAAGATCAAGTAACATTTCATCATCTTCGCCCGACCTTGCTCGAAATCCCGCAGGTTTTCTGATGAGATTCTCGTCTTGGCTGACTCTCGGCGATTCCTCGGGTTCCACGGCGACCGGAATCATTGCGGGTTCTGCTTCTGAGTGAACAACAGAAGGCTTCTTTAAGTCCTCATATTTCGTTAGAACCTTCTGTAGCTCATCATTCACATGCAGAGCTTCACCAAGTATATTTTCATTGTCACCAGCTGAATTTATTATTCTTTGTATGGTATACTGAGCTTGTTGGCATTGATTCACCAAAGTAGTTGTCAGGTCGTCCTAAATGGAAAGAAAATAATGTTAAGTTTGGAAGATTTACATATATACCACTCAGTTACTTTGTATTTACATATCTAAATAATACAACTTCAATTTTTATATAAATGCCCCCTTACCTATGCATGAAATGGAGTATTTCACCTTTTAAAACTTAAAATGGTGCTATTTTTGAGGTGATATGAAAGATTTAGGAGGTATGAATGTAAAAAAGTAAAGTTTAGGTGTTAGAAATGTAAAGATATAGGAATGGGGACATATGTATGTAATTGTCCCCCTATAAGTTCATTGAGCAATATATATGCAGCAGAAAAAAATTCAGGTTAGATGACAAATAAATGGTGGCATCAGCTGTATAGGTTGAATATGGAGTCAATAGTAAAAGTTTAATTCTAAAGTTCAGTACTTTCTGTTAAATTGCATCAGATGTAACAGATAAGAATTTTTTGTATAGAATTCTCAGTTTGATCATCACAAGTTGAGGAATTTTTTTGTCTGATCTTAAAAATAGATTTTTTAATGTATTTGTTAGTGAGGAGAGGACGAGCTTATAAAACCAGCTGAGTGAAAATTTTTTTCTTCATGAAGAAAGGGAGATACTACATATATTATGAAATGAGAATTTTGTATAAATCACCCTTTAGTTTAGTGTTTTTGTGAACAAGGACGGTGGTTTTAAAATTTTGAACTCAAAGGCAATGGTTTATCCTATTTTGTAAACAATGATAGCAAAATTTGACATGTATAACAAAGGTTATTGAAACTCTGGTACTACCATCAAAGTTAAGTATGCCTTTGTTTTGATGGTTGTGATTCACTCGTGCGAAGGAAGAATTTTATGGACATCGCACTTGAAATTGGAGGTAAAAATAAATGTATTTGAGTTAAGCGTAGGCACTACACGAAGGGTTCAAAGAGGACTTCAAGGGCGATCATACTAAGCTCGTACATGGCATTGACGTGCTAAAATAAGGAGCTAACAAGTAGAGAATATTATTTCCTGCATCAATGTAACATTCCATAATGGTTCGATCCAATCCTAAAAAAAGAGGCTAGTATTTTTTCTTCAATTCTTTCAAACTCAAAAGGTCAAATTATTCAATTAATACACTTTCATTTTATTTGACATTACATATAAGATCCTTCAAGCAACAAACCATGTGATGCCAGGTATTTGAGGCAAACCATACGAATCATCATTCTCCATCAATTCAAATTAATGTCGAGCGCTCCATGAGGTGTTAATCTTATTTTGAGCATTTTTCTACCCAACTTTTGCTCATTTTACCCCATTTTTCTTCATAATCCATCAATATTAGCTTTATTGCCCCATCTTATTAGTCTATTTCCTATCATTTGTTGTGCATGCACAAACCGCTTGTCAATGATCTACCACTTTGTAATATGTAGATGCTAATCCTACCAAATATTTTATAAAATAATTTCACTATATAACATTTCTAACATTATCACACGTCCATCCTAAGATTATCAAATTCCACTCAACTTTGCTGGCCATTGCTTCTTTACTGCCCTAAGCCCGTAGAAACTAAGATCCATACATAAATAATTATTCCCAACCTGTTATATTCATGTTGTAATTGAATTGAAGTATTATATTTGGGAGATTAGTGCTACAACCTATTTTCACTGGAGTGCACATGCCCATTTGCCTTTAAAGATGTAGATGCCTTAAGAAGCGAGCAACAAAGGGTATGAGGGAGCAATATATGTTCGTGAAGGGGACAATAAAGTTTCCAAACATGAAGCCATTTTCTTTCTTTAATCATACATACCTCTTTATGCTAGCTTCAATTAAAATAGCTACTTAATTAGCTATTCATTATTATTATTTGATATCAAATTGATTGTATTCTATGATTTTTGTCTCTCGAGTTTTAAATAACTATGTTCATGATACAATATAGCAAGTATGAAGAGGTCTAATCGTTCATCATGGGGCAACATCGTGGGTCATGAGGTTTTAATCGAGACGCATCAAACCCACTTAAATGGGTCGTCGTCGACATGGCCTTTGAGAATTATTTAAAGAACCGTCCTCTTGGAAATACCCAATTTAAAAAAAAAAACATGAAAAGGTTTATGCTTGGATGAGGTGAATCATTTGTCAACTCCTATTATAAGTTCACATTCTATTGCATCCCTCCTTTTACAAGAGTACCTTCTTCTCAAGTAGTGAGAACTGATAATAATAAGCAAAATATTTTTATTCACACTAATAATTTAAACAAAATTTATGCTAAACTTTATCTCCCACGTCTTGCTTTGCAGGCATTTTGATTATTTATAGATGCATGCAAGAAAATTATCATATTAAAAAAATAAATGGCGCTAACCCAAACAGTAATTTGAACAATAAAAAAATAAAAACTAAGAAAGAAAAGGGAAAAAAATGAATAAAGGAGAATGTGAAGTAGGAACTAGAAAGAACTAGAGAAGATAAAATGAGCAGATCAAAGATGAAAAGAATACAAAACAATAACTCGATAAGTGAACCTCATGTGTGAACAAACAGAGTATTTCCCAAAAGGGGTTAAAGCCCATGCCTAATCAAGGATCAAAATCCAAAAATAAATGAATAAAGATCTTTGCTATTCACAATAATATATTTATTCATGTTATAAAATAGTCTTAAAAACTTAATAATATATTAAAAGTTATTTAGTAAATTATCAATAAACTAATGGCAATTTTCCACCACATAAATGAAAAAAAAATACCCGTATAGAATCATTAAATGGCCATAAAGTTTAAATCATTAGATTTGAACTATGAATTTCAATTTTACAATACTAGTATTCTAATGATTGTAAGCTAGTTTGTTGAAGGAGATTGTAAGTGCCTTAGCATGAGGTTTAATGTGCCATGAATAAGTGATATAGTTCATGATGGCAAAAAGAAATTTAATCTTTTTTTATGAATTTATGAAAATAAATAAATAAACAAAAAGGTGTTTGAATTCAAAGTAACTTAAAAACACTAGATTTCAAACCAATTCTACATATAGATGATCTAAGACATAGATTTGAAACAAGTTGCTATAGGACTATCATTAAAAAAGCAAAAAAAAAAAAACTACAAAAAAAATGAAATAGTTGAAAATTTCATGACTCGATTCTGTTTACTGATCAAAATCAAAGATGATGAAAAAAAGATATTTCATATCCAAAATAAATATTTTAAGCATGCCATGAAACTTTATAATACGCCTCATAAATAAAATCTTCTTATTTATTTAAAAAGGTAATAGCAAGACGCTATAAGAAAGAGAAAAAGAGAATTTTGAGGTATGAAAGCCATTCTAACGATATGAATAAAATTTTTACAATTGATACATATGCCCTTCATACATTGTATAACTTTAATCTATGTTCAGGTGTAAGACATGAAACACTTACAAAAACAAAAATCCCCTTGTACAAACAAATTATTTTTCTCAATCATTTCATATTTTCACTCATCTTTATTATTTTTTTCAGTTCTTTCATCATGTTCATCAATCAAATTAGAACAAAAGCTATGGTTTTAGATCATTTTATAGGTAAAATTGTTTTGAAAATCTATTTCTGCCAAGTTTCATTTAATTACATTTTCTTTTCTTTAACTTTTCATGATTTCCATAAATCCGTTTAGTTTTTGTAGCTTCTCTTATTGATCTGAACAATTAATATAATATTCATGAACAGTGTTGCATTATGATACAACAACCCTCGAGCTAAAGAACTCAAGTCCCACTTTACCATCTTCCACACAATCTCCAACAAAACTACCCACAAATCATTATAAAAAATCAGATTTTAAATCTGAAGTTCAACTCGAACTTTGATTTGAAATTTAAGTTTCGAACCTCCCCCTACCTTTCTCCATGAAAAAATTCAAATCTTACCTCTCAATGGAATATCATTTTCAAAATTCAATCATAGAACATGAAATTAAATTCAAAATTCTAATTCTAATTCATAACCTCTTAGAAATACAAACCCCTTTCCTAAAGTCTCTCCAGTTATCTACCCATCCTAAAACAAATCTCAATAAAAAAGAGCAAAAAAAAAAAGAAATAGAAATTGCCTAAGCATCCATCTTCTTATAAAAGGCATCCATTTCTTTTTATATCGGCCTTCTTGTACTGCTCATTATCCTATCAACTGGCGAGTTGATGTGAATATAAATTTTGAATTTTATTTATTATAAATATTTGAGCAATTTTATTTCTTTTAGACCCCCATGGTAATGTCACTGTCATAATAGGAACGCTTAATCCATGCAATAATTTGTTAATAGATTTTAACAATTTATCAGGAATTTGTTACAAAATAATGAGGTTTATTATATGTGAATATTAGAAGTTATATTATAAAATAATTTATTCTCGTTAGAAGTTATGGTGATTAGATTTATTTCGCAATATAATTTTATTTCATTTCCTATTTTAAGACTTATTTTCTTAGATTGGATTTATTTCAGTTTTTATTTTATGTTATTTCCTTTATCTTCAAATAATTAATATGAATTGATTAATTAGGATATTAGGTGTTATATCTTTCCTTTCCTGTAATTTCTTTTTATCGTCTTGATTATTCTAAGATTCATGTAAGGGTTATTTATCCCTTTTCATATAAATAAAATCATTCCTCGTTATTCTGAATTTCAATATGATATCAGAACTTCGAAACAAACCCTAGAGTCTCCTGCCGCCGGAAACTTTCTATTCCCTGCAACCGACAATCTTTGTTGTGCTGCAGACCCTTCCCCCGTTTGTTCTTTTCAATTTTTTGGCTAGAAACTTCCCCGCCCTACATGCTCTAGATGTCGAAAATTCCTCTCCTAGTGACCCTAGCCGCCATAACTCCTTCATACAAGTGTTCCTCCTTTGTACCTGTAGGCCTCCGGAACTTTTCATGCACCGAAATTCTTCCTACAGCAGGTCCTCCTTCGGAGCCTTTTCCTGTTGCAGGCCAACCTATGGGGTTTTTTTTTCTTTTTTTCTAGAGTTCATATCCTGCAGTTTTTTCTGGAGATTGTATACTTCCCTACAAACTCCACTACAGAATTACCTGTAGAAACGTTCCGTCTACCTACAGACACTGCAATAACTGCAGTCAAAGACAACTAAAATCAACTAAAAATTAGTTTTTCCTGCAGCTTATCTACTTGCCAACAAACTCTCCTGCAACATTTTTGCCTACCTACAGACACTGAAAGAACTGCAATTAAAGACAAACGCAAACAACTAGAAGTCAACTTTCCTGTAAGTTGTCTACTCCCCTACAAACTCCCTTACAACATTACCAGTAGAAGACTTTCGCATAACTACAGACACTGTAGGAATTGAAGTAAAAAACAACTGCAGTACAGGATAAAGACTTCCAAGTTCTGCTTCATAGAATCTTCCTCGCACATTTAATGATGTTTTCAAATTCAAGTTGAACATAATTTTCAACCATATTTCAACTTGAGTGGGAGTGTTAAAAGTTATATTAGGAAATAATTTACTCTCGTTAGAACTTATGGAGATTAGATTTATTTCCTAATATAATTTTATTTCCTTACCTATTTTAGACTAATTGTCTTAGATTAAATTTATTTCCTTTTCTATTTTATGATATTTCCTTCATCTCTAAATAAATAATATGAATTGATTAATTGAAGATAGTAGATGTTATATCTATTCTTTCATGTTATTTATTTTTATTGTCTTTTCCATTTTAGGATTCATGTAAGGGTTGTTTATACCCTCTTTCATATCAATAAAATTATTCCACATCATTTTGAATTTCAACAATGAATCTACATATGTGAAGTGTGATTAGCTCTAAAAAGGAGACAAAAACCTTTTATGTTCATATGAAATGCCGATTACGATTTAAAGAGTTATGGAAGAAATTACAATGGTTTGGTTGAAAAAATATTTTTTATTAAATTTTAAGACTAAGAAGTTGTCAAATGATTATAAAAGAATCACTTTGATTTCAATAATTATTTTAAAAGTAAATGAGATGGTTAAGATTATGCTAACTATAAATGCTTAAAACTTATGATTCATACTAAAAGGCTAGAGAAGAGAATAAATGAAATATAAATTTTAAAAAATTATAAAAATTCAACGAATCAAGATAGGAAGATCCACTGTAAAAGTAATCTATTTGTTAAAGTAATTAATGCATGGATATAAAAAGATGATAAAGGATTTTCATATGATTTTTATTAATCTTGAAAAGGTAAATGTTCAAGTACCAGTAGATTTGATTAGATGTGTGTGAATAAGGAAATGTGTGTGCCAAATGTATGTTAAAAGTTATTAAAGATTAATCATTGGCATCAACTAGTATTAGAAGTAGCTGTAAGGTGAAATTTGTCAATTTTGAGTATGATCATGTCACGGATCAATCCTTAAGTCAATACAATTTTGTCATATTTATAAGCATGCATACAAAGGATATTTAAAAAGTGAGGTACCTTAGTATATTTCTTTTACAAATCACATAGCTTTGATCAATAAGATATTTGTTGAAATAGATATAAAATTAGAAAAATGGAAAAAATAAATTTAAAAAGGAGACTTAGAGTTAATAGAACAATGACATAGTATATGAAATACAATTTCAATTAGTGTGATATTAATAGTAGTCAAGAAATATCATTAAAAAATAAAATAATTTGTGGGTGTGATAAGATAAAATTCTTGGATTTATTCTACAAAAAAATTAGAAATAGATGAAAATATTACTTCTAGAGCTAAAGATGGGTGGTTAAAATTAAAAAAAAATTGATATATAATTATTATAAAATAAAAACATATAATGAAGACTTAACAGTAAAGTTTATGAAATTATAATTAGGTGACAACCTATATGATTCTGAATATTGGGGTATTACAAATATTGTTACTAGATGAGCTGTGAATGGTAGAAATAATATAGAGGTGTGGTAAACTAAGAAAATGATAAATTGAATAATGACTACATCAGAGTACTGTTAAAGTGGGATCTATTGAAGATAAGAAAATGATAAAAGACTTAAATGATTCAATTATGTCCAAGAGAGAGAAAGCACACCCATTAGATGGCTAGTTAAAGTTAGTGTATGAGGAAGAAAGAAAATGAGTAGAAAATGAGTAGACTTCAATGATTCAATTATGAGTAGATAATGATAAAAGACTTAAATGATTCAATTATGTCCAAGAGAGAGAAAGCACTCCCATTAGATGGGTAGTTAAAGTTAGTGTATGAGGAAGAAAGAAAATGAGTAGACCCTAAGTAGCATTGATAAAAGTTATTCAAAATAAATTGATAAAAAATAAAATTAACACTTCAAGCAACACTCAAAATAAAAAAATGAAAAATGAGAATTCAAAATACTGCACTAAAATAGTTAGAACAAGGTTAATGGTAACGATAGTGATGAAACCAATGCATTTTTCAGGATGGAGGATAACTCCGTGAAATGAATAAAAAAATTAGTACATGATCTCAATCCTTGATCAGCTGTAAGAACAAAAAAAACTTTGGGGAAAGGTAGTCACCTTGTTGAAATATGACCTGGCAAGTTATTTTCCTTTAATCTTTTCAAAATTTCCCCCCTTTATTATCTTTACTAATGCTTTCATTCCCTGCCTACATCGAATTGGTATTAAGGCTAAGGCTGTAGGTTTATTCTATATGTAAGGTTGTTACTCTGAAAGCAAGAGTTCTATCGAGACATTGAATCCTCTTATCATCATTTTTAACACATATGTTTCATAAATTAATTTTCCCTTCCTTTCATTCAGTCAAAAACCCTCTTTTCTATAATCATTTATGTTTCCTTTTTTACTGCTCATAGCACAATAAAATTAATGTTTCCAAGCGTAGTTAAATTACTGAAAATTAAACAATGAGCATTAAGAAATAAAGTAGTCATGCATAATTCCTTACCCTCGAGACGCTGACAAACTTTCTTGAGGTAACATAATGAAGATGGATGTTGATGAACTTACTAGAATAATAAAATTATTATCAGCTCGACAAGTAAAATAATTGTTTGCATGGAAAATAATCAATGAGCATTAAAAAATAAATAAAAGAAAAGCAAGTACTTAAACAAAAGAGCGTGCATCTTCTTCTAAAAGAAAAGAACTTGAACGAAAGAGCATATATCTTCTTTTACAAGACATCAACATCCATCTTCATGATATCAAACTTATTATTTTTATCATTCATTGGGAGTATTAACTTTTCACTGTTCATAAGTGAAGTATTTTTTGCGAATTATAGCAACTACTCCGGTTGTATTATAACTAAAACTTTAAGGAGACTGTGTTTTGCACCCTGCAGGAATTGGAGCAAACAAAAAAATGATGACTAATTCAACGTGTGTATTTAAGCCTTTTTTTTCAAGGCCTCTGTCATTAAGTTGAGTAGTAAATTATTAGTATTTTGCAATCTATTAGAAGTTTGCAATTTATTAGCAGTTTGTTAAATTGATTAGGAAATAACAATTCATTAGTAGTTTGTTAATAACATTATTTCTTTCATATATATATATAAATAATAAAATTCTGAGATATGTAAAAGAGTTTGGTGATATGAATAAATATTTTTTGTAGATGTGATGATGTCCCTTCTTCGACATCTATTCAATGACTTTGATCATAGGTTAAGTGTGTGCCATGAAACCATTTTAAGAGAGATAATTTTGTTATTCAAGTATGAAGCTTACTTATTAGATTCTTATATCTTAAAAGTTCATCTTTTTCCTCCTCTTTATAATCCTTTCTACTCACTGTCATGGTTATCTTACATGAGAAAGAGTTTAATGAGCTAAAAGTTTAAGTTTTGAACTTCAGGATTATGGAAAAGAAATAAGAACCCTTATATATAAATGTAAATTTATAGTAATTCAGAAAATGAAAATAAAACAATTACGATAACGAGGAAGTGCATTATGAACAAGACTTGATAGCCTTGCAAACATAAGAGTTAGCAATCAATTTAAGAAGAAAAAAAACTTCTCATTTATAAACCATAGAAGATAAGAAACAGCTCTTTAACACAAAAAAACTTACATACTTGGTTTCAAAAAGAAATCATTTATGCATTTGGTAGGTCTTTAAATATTATCCAAAAAACAAGCCTAGAAGCTAGATGTATCATCGACATATATATTCTATAATGAAAAGAAAGCGTGCCATCAAATTTAAGAGCTTCATAACCCTAAAAAGCACTACCACGAACTCTTCATACAAAAACTATGAACGATCAAACATTTGAGCGCTTAAATTTTAAACCAGCAATGATTTGACGACAACAAATATTATAAGATGACGACTATTATCAAGTGAGATTAGCCAAAAAAACTCTATCAAGACGATTACTAGAAATGGTGAAATATACTACGGAGTACGGAGTTCCTTGACTAAAATGAAACAGATCACAAAGCTAAAACGGAGAAACGCCAACAACATAATCCATGATTCAAGCAAAAATCCATAACTGAATGAAGATTTCTTCGAGCTTCACCACGAGAAAAACCTTTGACTTGAATGTGCACTAAGGCTCTTCAAGAGTTAAATTATAACAGACCTTCACATACCACTTCACCTTTAACACTTTGGATGAGTCTTCTAGTTTGACACAAGCTTCAACATGATGTTAACTTTTTTCGATATTCATAGGTTAGGTTTCCCATTTTGCATTTAGATCTCACGAACAAGGGCTAGTCACTGGTGGATTAGAGTAAAAAGATTTTTTTAGAAGAAAAACTAACCTTCAAAACTTCTTGCGGAGGAGAGGAGGTTAAAACTGTTGAAAGTAGTTCCGAGCTGTTGCGAGCCACATCAAAAGCTTCCTTTGTTTGTTCAGTGGTAAAATGCTGCATAGGAGAGTCAGGATAATTTGGAAGGGGCGGTGGCGCAATAAAAGTTGAATCTGTCTCTGGGGCTGAACGTGGAGGGGTAAATATTGGAGCCAAGCCCTCATCATCACGTCCAGGAAACCTTATGCCTCTAGATCTTAAGCTCTACAAGAAAATAAAAATAAAAATTCAAATCAAGCAAAATAAAATATGGATTTGGTATGATCAACATGGCATATATATGTTCATTCAATCTGGTTTTTACAATCCAAATCCAATGGTAAAACATCAAGACCTTGTATGTTTCCTCATAAACCGGCAAATATCTAAGTTCGTCTCCTGACTCTCCCCACGCTTGGATCAGAACGAGGGCCTTGTTCCGATTGTTGAGCGCCGTTTGAGGATCATCTATCAGTTTTACCATCTCGTCAAGAACCCTCTCGGCTGCAACCTCGGAGAATGCTTTCTCGCAGTTCTTGACGCAGGTTTCAAGAAGCACCAATGCAAGGTATTGGACCCTTGGATTTTTCACCATGATTCTTTTCTTGATGCCACAGATAAAATCGACGCTGTTGACCTTATTGCTGTTGATCATATCACAGATTTCGAGGTTGGCGGCCCAATCAGGTCCGTCCAAGTTCTCTGAGGTGGCCTCTTCGACAATTTTGTCAGCTTGGGTTGGACCTTGAAAAAATTCCTTCATCTTAAAGCTCATGGAGCTCATACCAGCCGTCACTTTCCTGCCCATCTCAGTGCCACTAAGCTTAAGACGCTCGCCAAAGGCGCTGACTTTTTCGAGTAGATCGTCGCCCATTGTTGCGTATGAAGCTAATATAAAAAAGCAGGGAAAAAACCCTGCAGCCAACACGAAATGGAAAAGATAAACCTGTCTTTAGAACATTACATGACGTGATAAAATGAACTAATAAAAATATGATTTTATAAAAATGTAAGAGAAGAAGCTAATTGAAGGACTGCAGGCTTATAGCTTGTGCATAGTAATTTTAAAACTATGAATCCAAAACTTAGAGTCCATGCAGAATTAGCTATAGAATGCTCTCCTAAGTCAAAAAAAAAGCAGAAAAATGCAGGCCAAGTTGAGTTAAAATCATCATCATTAGCATTATCCTAAGTAAACGGAACCGCGGACTTCAGAAGAAGTTATGGCCACAGTGTGTCTAACCTGAAGCCTGACTAGGGTATGGAGTAATCTTACTGAGCATTACCATCGAGTACTAGACTAATATCGGTGTATTCCACGAGTTAGACACAAATAGCCCGCTAATACAAGTCGGATGACGGTAGTTGACCAAGAAAAAGTGCAACTCTCCATTGAGAAGAGCTTTTATAAAAGTTTGAATCTTAAAACTTGCTTGAAAATCACTCAAATTTGACTCTGTATTTTGGGTTTGAGGTGTTTGATTTGGCCCTTAAAAGCTCAAAACCGCACAAAAATGACTTGAAATGAGTATTTTTATAAAAAATACAGCATGAATAACATCATATGTGGGTATATTACAGGGTAAAATACTAATGAATATGTTTATAACAAATTAAAATTTGAATCATTTTGACTCAACTAAAATTGAATGGTAGAAAAACAAATTAATGTCTACTCAAAATTTTATCATTTCAAGTTGGGACAACTCAGTGATTTTGATTTTGATTTCCACCCATGCTGGAATCAAAATGTTTTATTTTGAGTTAAGCTAAACTTGGCTCGATTCTTAGTTGTTTATCTAGCACCTTATAGCAGACAAAGCTCCCACAAAAGACTCCTCATGGACAACTTATTCCATTTTGTTGAATTGATAATACGATTCAATAGTAAGCATTGGATATTTCTTTACATGTACGGACATACTAGAAACGAACAAGCATAAAATATTGAAATAAGGTAACATAGGACATAATCAAGTAAAATAGACTAAAAAGGTTCTACATAGCTCAACAACTCCATCTATCATCCAAATGATTACCTCAGGAATAATTTGGTTGGCTACATACCCTTTTGAATATATTCTATAAATTCAACTAAGCGGAATGAGGTTGATTAGGCATTTGTATGATTCTCCTTATCAGCACCATCTTCCGACCAACCTTCCAAAACAACTTCAAAATGCTTAGCCTGCTTCAAACACAGATCAGGAGCACAAGCGCTGAAAACTTTATGGGATAGAGGACACATAGCGACCCCTTTAAAAGTCAATGAAGCTTTTGTTACATGGAAACCCCATTCTCTTCCCAATCTATCCTTCGATTCACTCAGATTACTCGTGCTCGCCAATCTCCTCCATGAAATCATCTTTATTGCTTACTCCTTGACCAAATTCAAACAATCTCAATATGTCCATTAAAGTCACTTCCAATACTTATCCCATCTTCCTTAAAGAATACTTTCTAATAATCCATTAATTTCTTCCAAAATTTCATTTTTTTAACTATCTTATAATCAAACTTGCCGTGTATAATCACAAACCACATTTGGAATATCATCAAAGGTAATTAAATTGATAGCAGGGTTAGTTGTATCAGCCGATTACCAATCAAAACTATATATTAAAAATAAAAAACCCATTCATCGCTTCCTTAAAGTAGAATTCTCCTAAAGAGAGTTCTTAGGGTTCCAAATTTGCATAATCAAAAAAGAGGAAACCATGAAATCCCCAAATTGTAACAGACAAAGCCATCACGAACACAGACAAAAAACATTCAGATCTCTCCAACCCCAGTCTTTACAAACCATTAGCCATTAAAACAGCCAAAAAAAAATCAACTTTCCTGATCCCCAATAAAAAATCAGACCATTAAATTATAATCCAAGCCAGAAACTACATCTTACAGTCAAAAAAATTGTATAAAAATGCAAGATACAGCAAGCGATGATGAAAAAGAGAATTATTGCGAAGCAGGCATACCAAGAAATCAAAGTCCAGAGAAGATCTATCGACCAGTTCTTCTAGTATGAGCACTTACATCCGTTTTGTTGAAGTTGGAAAGCGGTAATCTTCCGCTTCGCCTAACTTTCCTTTGGGTTCAAGATTAGAATTTTATAAATTCGAACGAAATTTATTTCATGGATTGATAATCATGAACCGTTGGATCAAAGCAGGTCGTGATCTTAACCCGTGAGTGCCATTGACCTGCTTTTAAAGGAGTCTGAACCATTCGTTGACTTGACCCGCTCTTTTTTCGCATGTATATATATATATATATATATGCATCTTATGAAGAAATTTTGAATTCAAAGTTATATAAATAATAAATTTCAGTATATTTGAATTTTTTAGGCATTTACATACATACCATCCAATTTATATGTATTTACATGTCTAAAAACAAAATTTTTACTCAGAAATGTTATGACTGGGTCTAGAAGGTTGGTTGTAATGAAAATAATGGTAAATATATTATATTTAAATTTAAAGTGATTAAAATGCTATATTTAATATTTTGAATGGTTGGTATTTAAAAATATCAACTTTCGTACAAAACACCTAAAAAATTATATATAACATTTTAACCACATAAAACTTAAATATAACATTTTAACCCTCCAAAAATTTTACTCAAAAACTTCATGTGTAGGTTTAGGGGGATCGTTGTAATAAAAAAAAGTAGTTACAATGTTATATTTAAGGTTTCAACGATTAAAATATTATATTTAATATTTTGGGCGATTGGTATGTAAAACCCCTCTTTTATATCATATAAAAGGTTCATTGCCGCCGTCTAATTGGCACACTTTTTACCAATAGCCAATGTTGTTGCAAGGTACCTTCTTTAATGGGACAATGTTGATAAAAAGTGCAAGCAAGTAAACTATTGGAAGTGAGTTGAGCAATGAGAATATAAGAGCATAGATGGGATTATTACGATTGATTATAGTGCACCTTCGTAAGGATATGTAAGTGAAACCTCAGTGAGGTAAGCACGCCAAATAAACCTCCAAACACTTGTGAAAATATAGGCAACCTTCAAAATTCTAAAATATGTTAACATGTGGGGAGCCTTAAAAATGAGTTAAAGTGAGACTTAGGGTCCGTTTGGGGCAGTTTATAAGTGCGAGCGGCGTTTTTTGAAAACGTTGTCGTACCGTTTGGTTCGCACGTTTCGCCAGCTTATTTGAAACTGCGTTTGAATTTTTACACTAAATGCAGGCAGCGGGTCGACTCCTGCGGCCGGCCCGCGGGTTGCGTTTCAGAATAAGCAGCTTATCCTGAAACACACAAGCTGCCCCAAACAGACCCTTATTTATTGACTTTGGATAAAACTTTTTAGTAATTAAATGAATATGATGGATTATTCTCATTAAATGCTTAGAGTGAATGAAGTGATTCATGCACTTATATGATTGAAATGTGATTAAAAGATTCAGCTACTAAGTTGGCTTAATACCCAGGGCAGGGCAATGACCAACCCAAGCAATTAGTAGTGGTGATTTCATGAAGGCTATCATAAATGGTGTTTTTGTGTAGTTATTTAAATATGATGAGTTATAGGTTTTGAGTCCTACTAAGTACACAGACATGACAAATCTAAATATCATCAATAAGATTGATTAGATTATTCACACTCAATTTTCAAGCTACCAAAGATGGTGATGATGTGATAATATTTCTTATCTAATTTTTTCTCTTTAAAAATGATAATCAATTGCAAAAAAAATCATAAAATTAGGTATAAGAAGCTTGTTAATGTTTTGAATAGTTAAAATCATTACAATCAAATTGTACAACAATGAACACGTGATGGTGTAGTGGGTTGACACTGTTGTGTTGCTCATGATGAGATGTTGGGGATAGTTTGATAAGTGACAACACTCAACTACTAAAACAAGAATTTACTTATGTTGCTCTTACAAGTAGTAATGTGTCACATACAATAAATATAATTTGTTGAGCCAATATGTTTGATGTTTGTCATTTATAAAAGAACCAATTTTGAAATTATGTATATTTTGTGAGTTTCATTTTTCGCCCAATTTATTAAGCAGACTTAATTTTATATCATACTCACACCTTTTATATAACCCATTCGTTATTTTATAGACTAACTCATCTAACTTGTTTTGAAAAAGACCTTTTGCTTAGTTGGTACTCATAACCAACTGAATGCTGAGTGATTAGCAATTGGCAGAGTGTTTAGTAATAGTTACTAATGAGTTATAGAATGAGTAGTGGTACATGAGTATCTAGATATAAACATTTTGAGCTTTTAGCAATTATGGGGCTTGTTTATGTTCTTCGATTTAAGATTCAACCTTGTTGATATCTCAAATTTGAAATGTGATGGTTAGAAAAGCCAAACAGTGTGTGCGCTGCGCATCTCAATATTGAAATATATTCTAAATTGTGGAAAAGCTAACCAAACAATATTAGTGAGCATATGATAATCCGAAGCAAATCTTGAGAAGAGATTATCATATTTGTTTGTTCAAGGAAGCATGTATATTTTACTTTTAAGAGGTTGATAATAGCGGTATTTTTGATGTGATGTTAAAGATTGAAGTACTATGCATGCAAATATGAAAGTTTAGGAGTTAGATTTGGAAATACACGGGAATTGTGTGGCATATTTCTTAAACGCCCCCAATTAAAATAGAAGGTTTAAAAGATAATATGCTTAGATTCCATGTTTTCTTAGTTTCATTTAAGAAGAAATTCAGCTTTTGTACATCTCCTATTAATTTTGAAATAAATATGCAAAAAAATTATTTACTTTTCAAATGTAATTATGGCAATTATTCAATATTTTTTAAAAAAATTATCAGATAAAGGTGGTGTTTCGTAGGCTGTTTTAAGAAAGATTTATGTGTGATTTAGGGCCTGTTTGGGGCAGCTTATAAGTGCAGTGTTTGAGTTTTTTTACACTAAACGCAGGCCGCAGGTGCACCCTCGCGGTCGACCCGCATGGAGCGTTTCTAGATAAGTTGTTTATCATAAAACACACAAGCTGCTCCAAACAAACTCTTAATGTAAACCCACCAAACGCGACTTCAACTTATCTAAATCCCTCCATCGATGTCGAATTTAAGGGGATCGCTTGCTAAAGTATTAATTCCTAAAATAAAACGCTAAACAGTACATATAGATTTAAAGAAAATCATTCCAAATATAATTTCGGATTGAACATCATTGGATTTAAAAAATCCAGATTAATCTTATTAGTAAATCCTAAGTGCAGCCTAACAGCTTGAAAATTTATATTAGGATATCTTGACATAATTGTCTTATTTATCATTTTCTTTTTCCTTTTAATATGATCAAAGTTCTTATATGTCATAGCGGAAATATAAGGAATGTAACTAAAGCATCATTTAATCTCAGCAGAGTTACCTTATTGTTATATCATGAATTATAAGTTATCTCACATCACCTAGGGATAGTGGTGTGCATTATTTGGTCAAAAGCGATAAGCTGAACTAAATCGAAAAAGATTGGCTGATTTAATTTGGTTATCAATTTTTGTTTTTAGAAACCTCAAAATTCGATTTTTGGTTACTTGTTTAATTTTCATTAAAACAGACAAATCGAAAGCAAAAAATTCAACATTAATGTGAGGATTCATAAATTCAAATCGATATTGTACATATAAGATATGCAATTTATGATCTTTATCATAATTGCACTCCAGCTAACAAGTAAATATGGGTTTGTTTATAGTTGAACCATTTAAACCGAATTAAATTTTGGTTTGGTTGTATCGAAATTTTGATTGGTCCAGTTTTTCGAATTTTGAATTTCAGTTGCAATCGATTTGATCAATTTGAAAATCGATTCATCCAAACCGATCGAATATTTCCGCACTCTTTTGGATGTTGAATCTGAATCTGTCATGTGAATCACAACCAAAGAATAAAACATAAAACAAGAGAGGGAAAGACAGAATAAGAGAACGTAGTAGCAAATAATAGGTCAAGGAAATTTCTATTAATTCTTTGATTGCCCTTTACTCGGCGGATAGAGGACATAATACTAAGGTGAAGTCTTCTTTCTTATTGGCTAAGTTGACAACCTTAGTAGTTTATTTAGATTGACATGTCTGATTTTTAGTTGAGAACTCCCATCAGAAAGACGTGTTTAAGTTGGTTCTCATTGGAACTGGTCTCTTTTTGAAGAGCTCATCTCAACTTGCTTGATCATGGTGCTGTTCCTCGGGAATGTAAAGTTCAGTTCCATGGCTGGTTGATGCTTTTGTGGCTGGAGAACTTTTATTGGAAGCACTTTCCTTACGTGGTCATAACTGTTCTTTTTTTTGTGTATGTTGTTTGCCATATTTTTTACATTTATTTTTGTTTGTCTGTTTGTTTATGGGAGTCTTTCACTATTGTGTCGAGTTATATTTTTTGTGTATGTTATGGTGAAATTTTCCCAAGAGTTACAACAAACTTATACTAAGAAATATTTTGATACCCATCAACAAATTTTTATCATCCGATACGAATCTCGAGATAATTTTTTAAATATAAAATATTCAAATTTTAATTAAAAATTATCATAAACTTCAATTTCAGTAAACTTACAATCAAATTGATCGGTTCGACAAGATGAACTAAACAAAATCAAAATTGGTCTATTATGAGTCAATTCAAGCACGCACTAAGCAATTAAACTGTTTTTAGAAGTTTTAGTGCATAATTGGATAATTAAACAGATGTCAAATATGACAAGAATATAGTTAAACCGAGCATCTCCGAAAGACAAATTTAGCGAGCACAAGATCACTCAATTATGACATTCTTAAGAAACTCAAATATTCGTTGAATGTTGTCCGATTAAGGGAATCTCTCTTGGGTGTCTGATAGAATGGTTCAAATTCATTCCTTATTTGCTGAGAGTTGTATCTTAGACTCTATAAATAAAAGTCTTATCCCTCTCTCTTGAGAGGGATAGGGGGGTGACCTTGAAACGGGAGAAAACTGAAGCTTGGAGGATGACCTGAAGTCCAACATCGCTTTTGCACCGCAGATCTAACAAATACCTCCCACCTCTACAGTCGTTAACCACTGTCGACCAGGGGCCATTGTCTACGGTAGATCAACGTTGACTACCCTTGAGCCGTTGCAATGAAACCTCTCGTGGAATCACGATGTGCACTGCAGAATCCAAGGTAGATGGCAGAGAGACTAGGCATCCTTTGGAATAACATACACTGCATATAGTCCGATAATGTATCTCAAAGACGGTGAAACAATATGCTCTTAACATGGTGCAACGACACACCTCAATGACGGTGTAACAACACATTCCACATAAGGTGCAACGACACATATTGAAGGAGATATAACAATGCAACCCAAATACAGTGCAACAACACACTCCTAAAATTGTGTAATAATGCGCCTCAAATACTTTGCAATGACACCCATCGATGATGATGTAACAATGCACCCCACATTGGGTGCACAATGCCTTCCGAAGACAATGTAACAATGCACCTCGAAGATGATGACTTTCTCTATACTCCCAAATCTTTCTCATTGCAGCTTAGACGTCATCAAAGTTCACGACTACAACATACGTGGTCCACAAGTAGTGGAGCTTTTGACTCCGACCTCTATGACCTACGAATGTCATCATAGCTTACCACTACGACCTATGTGACCAAATACGACATATGCAGTCCACAAATCTTGTAGCTCCCGACTCCGTAATTTACAACATACGTTGTCTACGAACATCGTCACAAATCACTACTATGATCTATGTGACCAACTATGACATACACAACTCACAACTTGTGCAACTCTCAATTACTACCTTATAACCAACCGACGTTCCTGAAACAATCATCTACGACCCACACAATCAATTACTATCACTTCTTTCAACTATTACCTATAAAATAATTTGATGCTACAACCATCATCTATAACATTCATGACGAACAACTACTTACATAACAATCGACTACGACCTATACTGTCTGCTAGCACCAATAACTATATTCATTAATGCTAGATTACGACTACTATCAATGAACAACTATAGTAAATTTACAATGATCAACTTTGTAATCCATCTTCTCTAATTCAGGAGAAAAATGAACATTTATACTCACTATTCATAGTGAATCAATTCAATCTGTTCTGACCTTGCAGTTTTTTCCTCTTTTCATGATTTTTCATGTAAAAATTCAAGTATTTTCTTTTAATTCTCTTTACTTAACTTGAGTGTACGGTGTGCTTCGTTTTTGTATAACATTAAGACGATAATTCGTTACTCAACTGTTTTAAATTTTCTACATGTATCATATTTATTTTTTTTCATTCTATAAAGTGGGTTTCACACACCATTTTCTTAAAAAAAGTTAAAAAAAAAAAAAAAAATTCAACAAAGAATTTTTCACATTTCTATAAAGCACACAGTTATGCAGAACGGTAGATCGTCAGATCACCGCCGCCATCGTCATCGAATGATACCGGCCGTCGAATCTCTAAAGTCGGCGTGCCGCCTCATTACTTTTTGTGCAAGAAAGAAAAGAAGGCGACTTTCTAGTGATATATGTACCCATTTCCGCTCCTCTGGAGTCCTCGGCTCTTCTCCTGTTCTCTACTCTCTGCTGTATGTTCATCAAGAGGAGAGAGAGCCCACCCTCGATCGATGAGTTATTCCATGTATGATGGCTCGAGGTATATAGCTCATGCTTTCTAATTATCTTTTGATTGTTTTGGTATCCATTTCTTTAACCCTATGCGGGTTTTGAGCTCTTTGATCCGATCGGAATTGGCTGAGAGCCGAGTTCGTTGTTTGAGTGTATGGTTTTGTATATTGTTCTCTTGGGTAGGGTTAGGGCTAGAATTTTGCAAGGAAAATTGTTCGGTGGAGCAATTAAAGTTTGTTTTTTTTTTATTGTTAGATGGCTAATTTGGAGTGGAGAATTAAGTTGGATGGGACCTGCATGAGAGCATCCATTTTTCTTTGTTCATTGTTTTTTTATAGATATATAATCAAACCGAGGCGGCGTTTGGTACGCACTTTTAACAGGATTTACATCAGGATTTCACTTCTATTTTTTGAAGTTTTGCCCGATTTATAAATCCAGCCAAACTCAAAAAAATAAGCTTTAATAAACCTCACCAATTTCCCCCCGTTTTTGAAGTAAATCCTTGATTTATTAAATCCGGTTATTTGTTGGATTTAACGGTTTAAGGGCGGAAGAAAACACACCTGCGGGTTGTCGCTATCCCATTGCCAACATTTCATGGGTATTTGACTTTATTAATCTTAATGCATTTGGATTTGATAATTTCGGATCTACATGGTTTACTAAATCCTATTTAAGTTAATGCCCCATAAGTATTTGGTAGTGTTTGTTTTGGGTGCTAGATTTATGTTAATGCCCCATAAATAGCAATATTTCGAGTGTTTGTTTTGGGTGCTATGATTTTGATCTTGGGTGCAGCCAAACACCTCATAAGTATTTGGTAGTGTTTGTTTATATGGGATAATTACTTACACAACACTCGAAACATTGCTATTTACAAAACTAGCACCCATGTAATGAACTACCGAATTGATGCATGCATGTCTGTCACGATCGAAACATTGAGAATTTGATAAATTGAAAACTTTTTTTGGTTTATCGCAAATTTTGAAATTTGAGTGACAATTTGAAAAATGGACAAAAGAGGCTGCTTGATTTGTAAATAATAATGCTTTGGGTGCTAGATTTATGTAGTTAACTGCAATTTTGTAATTTTGCTAGCACATTATTAGTTTCTGTTGGGCTTTATTGTACAACTACAAGGAAGAACTGGGACTGGAAGAGGTGGGGCTGGACATTGTTTAAGAGTCAAGATGAGATTAGCAGAGTTTTGATTCCTAAATCTCTAAATCCAGGGATTAATAATTCTGGAATGGCCTTTACTAAGGAAACACCTATAAAGTGTTGGTGTGTTGGGGTTGGCCATTGGTTTGATTTAGGAATTGAAACTAAAATGTTTCTTAGCTAAACAACTTTTATTCCTCATTCTATTTTGACCCCGCTGTGTTTATATTGATTGCAACTTTGCTACATCTCTCATTGGTAGATAAGATATAAATCATCATTTAAAAAAATCTATAATAGTTTATTGGGATGACTAATGAAGAAGGATTGATGTTGAGAATTTTGAATGGACTTTGCATTTTTGAGGATGCAAATAGAGATTTATTTGTACAACAAGAAGCTGCACTTTCTATTGGACAAGAAGCTTTTAGTTGTGATGGAGATTCCAAAATTTCAAAGTTGATGTATGTGTGGGGGCCATTTACAATTACTTATATTGGTAATTTTAACTATTTTATGATTTTATAGATGACTCAAGTAGGAGATATGGCTTTATTATTATTATTATTATGATTTGCTCTGTTTGGTAACTTAAACGGGAATACTAAGTCTAGAATGAAATAAATCTGAAGTTGAAGTGCTTACAATTAGATTATCAAGGAGAATACATAAGATGATTTCAAGGTCTACTATGTAGAGAATGACCTCAAAATAAAGATGACTTTTTGCAAGAAAAGCTTATCAAAATGGTGGCTGAGTGGATGTATAAAATATTTAACAATGCTAGGAGCTTTAGTTGCATACTATGTTACCAAAAATGTTCTGAGTTGAGGCTATTAACTCTAGGAATACTTGAACAGCAAAGTCTTTCCACAACAATGTATTTCAAAACACTAACGTTAGGAGCAATAACGAGCTAAACATTTATTTCTCGAAAGTGCTTGATTATCTTTCCTATTTTTATATTGCCTATGTTGCCATAAGTAAACTTGATGCTAATTCTAAAATATTTTTGTTTATTGTCCATGATATTTAAGAGTTTGATTATCATTTTAGGATGTCCAAAATTGAACAGTTATTGGGAGATAACATGTATTTTTCATTGAAGATTTTTGTATAGAACATTTTGAAAGCAGTTCTTAAAGCTTTGCAATCGAACATGATCCCATTGAAAGACATTCTTATAATTGAGTTTTACAAAACTTGTATTGCTTTAGGAAGGAGGTTCAACAAAACTATTGGACCAATTCATAAATATTCTTTTGCACTGCACTATATTTGGTTGACCTATATAGGCAAACAATAATGTTTTGAAGAAGTTTCCAGACATGAATAATCTGCTAAGTTAAAGGTAGCTATGAAAGAAGATATAGATTTACTATTATCTAATTAAACATGATAGTTTCCATAATTTCTAAAGGGAAAGAAGGAGGTCCTGTGGAATTAGTCAGTAGATCATATTAAAGAAGTTCACGACGGTAGCAGATGATACAAGGCAATGCTTGTCAGTAAGGGCTTATAATAAAAAGAAGTCATTGCCTAAATAGAAATTTTGTCCCTTAGTATAATTAACCACAATTAGAATAATACATGCACTAGTAGGGACATATTCTTTCAATTCAAGATGTTAGCTATAAGGAAAATATTTATAAATGATGATTTGGAGGAAAAAAATTACATGATGTTGCAAAGGGATTTATGATATAGGAGAATGGAGAATGATGTGTAAACATATAAAAACCCGTATGATCCCAAACAAGTTCTGGGACAATTCTATGAGAAACTTATAGGTTAATTTGGGACAATGGT